CAAGCACACACGCCCTATAGCAAAAATCTCTCCCAAAAGAAAAAAAAAAGACTAGCGGCCTTTCTTGGTTTCTGTAGTTTGTGGTTTCTCACTGTCCCCACCCTTCTCTCTCTTTCTCCAGCAAGTGCACACGCCCTATAGCAAACCAAGAAAAACTGCCTACGGCAGAGGACAGAAGTCAGTGAATAGATTCTTTCAGATTTTTGTCAGAGGGCACAGAGGGAGGGATAGAGGGACAGTGAGGAGTCACTCCCCAGGGAGGATGGCCACACCACGCTCTCCATGCTCTCAGAATCTTGACCACGTGTGCACACTGGGCCCGGCGTGATTTTTAGGCTGCTGGGTCTGACACTTGAACTGTGGTCAGCTATGTGAGAATTCAGCACCTTAACCATGCCACCTGCTGGACCCAGATTTTTTTTTTTTTAATTTTGTAGAATAAATGAATGTCTGCTAAGAAAAGCACAGATGGAGTTGCTATAGAAATTAGAATTCATGGGACCAGCAGACGGCGTAATGGCTATGTCTCTGGACTCCCATATAGTCGACCGCAGTTCAAGTCCTGGACCCGGTGGCTTAAACTCAGCAGGCATATGTGCATGCGTGCCCAAGATCTTGAGAGGAGAATGGGAGAGAAGGGATAGTGGCGTGGCCATTCCGCCTGGGGGGTGATTTCTTGCTGTCTCTCTCTTTCTGGCAAAAAACCCTTTAAAAAAAGTTAGGATTCACGTATTCTCCCTTGTTTGCTAGGGCGGGTATCTGCAGCCGCTCGTTGCCGTCCAGCTCCCCTTTGATCACAGCGGCTACGGCAAAGAAGTGACAGTGGAGTGCAAGGTGGACGGGTCGTCCAACCTGAAAAACCAGGATGATCGTGACAAGTTCCTGGGACGAGTTACGTTCAAAGTCACCGTGCACGCATAGCCTGCGTAGGAGGCCCCCACAGAGGAAATATTGTGTTGTCTGTCCCTTCGTATCAGCTGGACCTGCCATTCTAGAATTACGAGACCGCCTTGGGGAAAGGCGCGTGGTACGTGACACTGGGTGACATCACAACGTGCCTCTGACCATAGTTCAGTGTCCTCCGAAGTAACCGCCTGTCGCCTCCGCTGCCCTTTGAACCAGTGTACAGTCGCCAGGTGGGGACGGGGAACACCTGGCTCTGAGCGTGTAGAGCGGTCTTGTCCTCTCTGTGGTCTCATCGCCAAGCGTCTAAAGCTTAACGTGTTGTGCTGTGTAAATATTGTAAGGATTTAACACTGGTTAACTGTCAGATTTCGATGCCAACAAATCTCTAGGGATAAAATGGTACCTGGCCAACATCAAGTGACTTAACTAAGAAACATGGTGTGTGAAGTTTTGTATGTGAGGAGAACAAAGGAAAATAAAATGGATTTGAAAGTATTATCTTGGACTTTTGTAAAATTATTTTTACATGCTGAGTTTGCCTGCGGATCTTGATTAAAAGCACAAGCTCTTCTCAAAAACGTGTAGAATAAAAAAAAAAACCCTAAGGGGTCATTTTGAGGGCCGGAACCACGTCCTATAGAGTAAAGTAGATGAAATACAGCATTTTTAGGTTAGTGTGACTATACCTAATTTTTTACGAAATTAAATCGATAAGACAGAAATTGTCTAATAGTTTGTGAAATACCTTGTTACTGCTTTTATTTAGCAGACTGTAGACTCCAATAAAAGATATAAATGTTAAACTATAAGAACTTGGAACTTACTCGAAGCATCAAACTAAACTGTAGGGTTTAATTTATGCGTTCTCTGGCTAGTGTCAAGGACTGTCTCCCCCAGTTCTGAGGAGTGTCCTAGGAACGATTCATCATTCAGTCTGTTTTCTCTTCTTTATGATTTGTGTCTTTTTTAGCTCCCCCCAGGCTTCGATACATTTTATTAAAGTGAAATTTGGGGGGGGGGGTTCGCTATAGGGCGCGTGTGCTCACCAGACAGAGACATAGAGACAGAAAGTGAGAAATCACCCCTCAGGAGGGATGGCCACACTGCAATTCCTTCTCCTCCATTCTCCTCTCGGGATCTTGGGCACGCACGCACACGCACCCGGCGTGAGTTTTAAGCCACCGGGTCCAGGATGCACACCGCGGTCGACTATGTGGGAGTCCAGCAACATAGCCATTACGCTAACTGCTGGTTCCCTAAAGTGAAATTTCAACGAAAGGGTTTTATTTACAATATCTAATGTGTGCGGGCACTTTCTACCCCACTTAGAACTAAGTGAGGATAACCATTAAGCCCGCTTATGTGTTTTATTTTCAGTTTACATTTAAAAAACTCTAGGGAAAATTAAAATGTAGGGACCAGCAGGTGGTGTGGTGGTTAAGGCACTGGACACTCCCACATGGACAACCAGGGTTCGAGTCCTGAATCCCATGGCTTGCTTTCTCACTTCCTCTCTCTCTCACTCTCACCCTCTGTCTCTCTGGTCAAATTAAAAAATAAATGAATGAATTAATACAAAATAAATAATTATTAAAAAAAAAAAAAGAATATACAAATGTAGAACCTTTATTGGGAGCACTCCCGGGCGAGGTTTGCTGGTCTGACAGAAAAAGAGAGGGGGGTGAGACAGGCCAGAGAATCATGCACTGGGGCGGCGTTGAGTGATTTTTATGAGTATAGGGAGGGGAAGTGTCTTGGAGGAGCAGTCCATGTGTGGTAAAGGTTTAGGGGAGAGCAGACTGCTGTGTTACACAAGGTCTGGTGCCGTGTGCAGAGCAGAGCGCATGTGCTACGTCCAGGTTAGATCCGAGCTCAGCGCAGCTCTATGGCAGACTAGGTCCGGGTTGCACCAGCTGACTAGCATGACATCCAACCCGCCCAGGCCTCGGCCTAACAAAAACAATTCTCATTCACCGCACATTCATATAGGTGTCAATATTGTAAGTGACACACGTCCCTCAGCCAACCCTTAATTAAATATACAGGCAGCTCCAAGAACATGTACTTGAAATCACCTTCCTCTTGAAGTGTGACCCAACGAGTCTGAAAACAACATTTCTGGCCCTGTACCAAATGGTAAGTTAGTCAAAGGCCTTTGGGATCCTTTGGCTCATTTACCTCAGCACAAGAGCCAATTTTTGATGTGGTGAAAGAAATGCGTTCATCCCCAGTTGCAGTGTCAGGCTCCTGTTGGCCCGCGCTGTCCGGCAGGCCGACTCGTCCTGCGTCATTTCACCACCGACAGTAATTCCCCGGTTCTTCCATACGGTCTCGTATGCACCCGCCTTTTCACTTGAACCACAGGGCGCACGCTCTCACCAGAGAGAGCTGAGAAATCCCCCTCCAGAGGATGGCCGCACCGTAATCCCTTCTGCATTTTCCTCTTGGTTCTTTGGGCATGGTTGGTCTGTTTTTCAAGTCACTGAGTCTGATACCTGAACTGCAAAGTTGGCCACGTGGGATCCAGCCACCCTAACCACCCCACCAGCTCACCTCGTAAGCCTCTCTCCTGATCATGACATCATTTCTGTAGCCCAGGCCGAGACTCGACCTCCGGGAGCTCCGTCCAGGCTTGCCCCACGCTTAGTCTGGCACCATTTTGCCCCCCGGGAACCCCGCCAAAAGCACAGCCTGGTGCGCTGTTTTCGGAGCACTCCCGGGCGAGGTTTGCTGGTCTGACAGAAAAAGAGAGGGGGGTGAGACAGGCCAGAGAATCATGCACTGGGGCGGCGTTGAGTGATTTTTATGAGTATAGGGAGGGGAAGTGTCTTGGAGGAGCAGTCCATGTGTGGTAAAGGTTTAGGGGAGAGCAGACTGCTGTGTTACACAAGGTCTGGTGCCGTGTGCAGAGCAGAGCGCATGTGCTACGTCCAGGTTAGATCCGAGCTCAGCGCAGCTCTATGGCAGACTAGGTCCGGGTTGCACCAGCTGACTAGCATGACATCCAACCCGCCCAGGCCTCGGCCTAACAAAAACAATTCTCATTCACCGCACATTCATATAGGTGTCAATATTGTAAGTGACACACGTCCCTCAGCCAACCCTTAATTAAATATACAGGCAGCTCCAAGAACATGTACTTGAAATCACCTTCCTCTTGAAGTGTGACCCAACGAGTCTGAAAACAACATTTCTGGCCCTGTACCAAATGGTAAGTTAGTCAAAGGCCTTTGGGATCCTTTGGCTCATTTACCTCAGCACAAGAGCCAATTTTTGATGTGGTGAAAGAAATGCGTTCATCCCCAGTTGCAGTGTCAGGCTCCTGTTGGCCCGCGCTGTCCGGCAGGCCGACTCGTCCTGCGTCATTTCACCACCGACAGTAATTCCCCGGTTCTTCCATACGGTCTCGTATGCACCCGCCTTTTCACTTGAACCACAGGGCGCACGCTCTCACCAGAGAGAGCTGAGAAATCCCCCTCCAGAGGATGGCCGCACCGTAATCCCTTCTGCATTTTCCTCTTGGTTCTTTGGGCATGGTTGGTCTGTTTTTCAAGTCACTGAGTCTGATACCTGAACTGCAAAGTTGGCCACGTGGGATCCAGCCACCCTAACCACCCCACCAGCTCACCTCGTAAGCCTCTCTCCTGATCATGACATCATTTCTGTAGCCCAGGCCGAGACTCGACCTCCGGGAGCTCCGTCCAGGCTTGCCCCACGCTTAGTCTGGCACCATTTTGCCCCCCGGGAACCCCGCCAAAAGCACAGCCTGGTGAGCTGTTTTCTGTGGTTACTTTTTTTTTTTTTTTTTTTTTTTTTGGGGGGTTTTTTTTTTTTTTGGTTTTTTTTTTTTTTTTTTTTTTTTTTTTTTTTTTGCTATAGGGCACGTGCGCTCACCAGAAAGACAAAGAGACAGACAGAAAGTGAGAAATCACCCCCTAGGGGGGATGGCCATGCCGCAATCCCTTCTCCAATCTCCTCTCGGGATTTTGGGCACGCACGCACATGCACCTGGCGTGAGTTTAAGCCACCGGGTCCGGGACTTGAACCGCGGTCAGCTACATGGAAGTCCAGCAACATAGCCATTATGCTAACTGCTGGTCTCATTCTGTGGTTACTTTTATTGCCAGAAGGCACATACCCTACAGAGAGCACTCCCAGTGGGGGGGCATCACCCCACAATCCTTGTTCCAACATTACTCCTTCCCCTCGAGATCTTGGGAACACACGCGGACTCAGTGTGGGTGTCAAGCCACCAGTGTCGGGATTCAAACCAGCCATGTGGGATCCAGCTCAACCACTGAGCCACACGGCCAGCCTACATTGGGGAGAGGCGTGACAAGCAAACACATGTGCCCAGCTTGTCTCAGGCTTCTGGGTCACCCCTATGGGATCTGGTGGTTTCACTGTGCAACCGACTGGCTCACTTTCCTCCTTCTTTTAATTAAAAAAAAAAAAAGAGCAAGGCAGAGCGCTATCCCTGAGGTTTCCCTGTTGGTGCAAGTCAGGACACGGCAGGGCGCCCCGCTCCGGGGGGGGCGGTGCGGTTTCCAGCCGTTCAGGAAAACCTCAGCAGTTAGCGGCGGTCACCTGGGAAAGCCGGCAGTGCCCTCACGGCGGGCAGGGGTTAACGAAACGCATGCAGCGCCGTATGCAGTAGCTGTCAGTGAGGGCCATGCGAGGGGGCCAGCAGGGGGCGTGGTGGTTAAGGACGCTGGACTCCCACACGGCTACCATAGTTCAAGTCCTGGATCTGGTGACTTGCTTTCTCGCTTTCCCGCTCTCGTTCTCTCTGTCCCTCTTCGGTCAAATTAAAATCAAGTAAAACAATTCTTTAAAAAAAGAAAGGCACCTGAGCTTGTGGCTTCAGGTGACAGGGCGGGGTGTGTGCGGTTGTGTAGCTGCCGCTGTGTTGGGACAACTTGGTGTGAACGTTAGGCAGAGGCGGGAAGTCCGCTCTGTGTACCTGCAGCCCCGTGGAACAGGCGTGTGTGCAAAGTGGGGCACAGGCACACCGCAGGCCCTCTGCGTCTTCGTCCGTTGGAATTTGGGGCCCACACGTCCCCAGCATGCTTTTCAAAGTGCTGGGGCCCAGACCCAGATCACTCGGTCAGCCATGTGGATTCGGGCTCCCTAACCACTGGACAGCAGGTCCAGGCCAGTTTGCTAAGTGGACTCAGTTTTCCAGGTCTGTCAGTGCCACTCTGAAGGGCCGTGTTGTCTGAAGGCCAGCCCCTCTTTCTGAGGTGTCCGTGTGCTCTTCACTAGGGAGGGCTTCAGGAGGAGGGAGCTGTGCGGGCAGGCGTCTGTCACACGCCATGGTGACACCAGACGGTGAGGGAACAGCGTGAAGTGTCTGATTTTGAACCAGCGTTCTTGTGCCCTGTCGTCCTAGTAAGCCCCTTTAGACCAAGTGCACTACGATATTTCAACTTCCTTTTTTTTTAAAAAAAGAAAAGAGATTTTTGCATGACCAGCAGTTGGCATAATGGCTATGTC